ATTAACAGAACTGCTGAGTTAAATTTGGAAACTGATGCGAATCGTGAGGAAATCTGTCATTTAGTTATTTTGTCTGGCAACCTGTTTTGTCTAAATATCTACTGAAATTTGTAGAGGATCTAACGTTGCCACTAATGCATTAACAGAACTGCTGAGTTAAATTTGGAAACTGATGCGAATCGTGAGGAAATCTGTCATTTAGTTATTTTGTCTGGCAACCTGTTTTGTCTAAATATCTACTGAAATTTATAGAGGATCTAACGTTGCCACTAATGCATTAACAAAACTGCTGAGTTAAATTTGGAAACTGGTGCGAATCGTGAGGAAATCTGTCATTTAGTTATTTTGTCTGGCAATTGGTTGTAAGGTCAACCTCTATTGTCTAAATATCTACTGAAATTTATAGAGGATCTAACGTTGCCACTAATGCATTAACAAAACTGCTGAGATAAATTTGGAAACTGATGCGAATCGTGAGGAAATCTGTCATTTAGTTATTTTGTCTGGCAATTGGTTGTAAGGTCAATCTCTATTGTCTAAATATCTACTGAAATTTATAGAGGTTCTAACGTTGCCACTAATGCATTAACAAAACTGCTGAGATAAATTTGGAAACTGATGCGAATCGTGAGGAAATCTGTCATTTAGTTATTTGGTCTGGCAATTGGTTCTAATTGTATGGTCAACCTCTATTGCCTAAATGTACGTACCCTGTTAAAATAATGCTCGATGTCATAACCAGACAACTGAGTGATGCATTTTGTATCATCAAGAAACTCTCTATCAATAATCATACAAAATGATAATTTATATGAGTTCATTACCTATGCTGTAACCTTTAGTCTTGGAAGCAAATCAAAATGGATTGGTTGAATTATCATGACTTCGTGCAAGCTGTATGAAATAACTGTAGCTTTGTACGTGAATCTACTGTCTAAAGATACGATAAATGGTGTATATAAACTGTCTACATAAGTTAGATAAACATAGTGAATATTTTTTTTTCAATTGTGTTATTATACGACGGAAACAGTGAATTTTAACGATCGCACTTAGTCGAGTTAGTAGAACCTATTATCGTGTTAAAGAGCATTGAAAATACATCTGCAACATTTCAGCGACTGATAGGAATTTTTCAAGGCATATGTTTTTATACTGCCTCTGAGATGAAGTATGTTTCATTGTGATTTATGAGAATATTATGTTCATCTCGCAGGTATGAAGTTTAACAAAAGTCAACATGGTGTTCATAGCATTTCTTTCCTGGATCTTGTCATACCAGGGACGAGATTTCAGATAATATTGAATTTCGATCTATTAGAGAATATGTAGCTAGAACTATTTATCAGTGATTGCGGGGCCTGACATGGCCAGGTGGTTAGGGTGCTCGACTCGCAATCTGAGGGTCGCGGGTTCGAATCTCCGTCACACCAAACATGCTCGCCCTTTCAGCCGTGGGGTTGTTATAATATAGCGGTCAATCCCACTATTCGTTGGTAAAAGAGTAGCCCAAGAGTTGGCCTTCCCTCTAGTCTTACACTGCTAAATTAGGGACGACTAGCGCAGATGCCCCTCGTGTAGCTTTGCGCGAAAAGTATTCTGGGAAGCAACTTATTACATTATTTCTATGATTATATTCTATGTAATTTTCGAAAATTTGTAAAGGAACTTTATAAAAGACGTAAAGTATAATTTAGTTAGCACCAAATCTTATGATTTAGAGTACCAAATAAAAATCGAATTACAAGAATTATACATAAACATTGAAAAAGAAATATGATATTTTCTTGTAACGAAGACAGGTGTTCTCAACTGCATGTCAGTGGAGAATAATATCACACACACACACATGTATATACTTGTAGAAATTATTTTGGAAAGAACTTCTACAGAACACATTTCTCTGGATACTGTTTGGTTGTATTCTACATATTAACTTTCCAGGTAGTAATCTCAGTTCTTACTCTTCGTAACTGATTTACAAAGCAAAAAAACATAAAAATTAAAGGGTATGTCCAGAGATTCAGAAAAGATGAACAAATTCAGTGGAAAAAAATTATCCAAATAAATATAAGAAGCATATTATTTTTAATGCTAGA